CCACGCAAAACGACGGAATTATATTACAATTCAGAAGACTGAAATGTTTACTTGGGAGGATGGCATGAGGTGAGGGTGAGGTGCAAAATCGATCCTTATGCTCGCTGAAAAATTGGAGACTCGGGAGAACAAATGCAGTTGGAGTCACATTGCACCTGCAGCGATAATCAGAATTGTTACGAACTGCGACTACACATAACATCTGGGGCGTTTTTGTCCCAATGTGACGAACCCACACACCCGGTTAATAATTACGTTCTGCTAATGGACTCGGCCAAATTCCTTGCGACACAGACAGAGCTTATATAGAAAAAGTAAAACACAAGAGAGTTTTGTTTTCAAAGACGAACTAAATATTTTACACATAGCGAAATACCATACCTATTCATCAAACCCGCACCTGCGTTATAATTTTCAACATTTCCAGAAGCCTGAAATATTTAAATGTACCACAGCTGCTGTGTATTTACTTGTTGTGCTGTGATGCGAACTACAGCCGACGCTTCGCTTATATAACATCGCCACATCATCGCACAGTAACTCGTCAGTTAATAACAAATTATGTAAATTCAAACAACAATAATTTCATAATACGCGATTATGGTAACAAATATAACAGAAATTCCACGTAATAATAATAATAATAATAATCATGAAAATTATAATAACAATAACAGCGCGTGCACTGAATTCGTAACCTAAAGTATCAGCGTCATAATTTTTCTGAATCCATGAGACAAGATGAACCTTCACTTGCAGCCGTAAGAAATCTGGAATTGCAAACCAGAGCAAAGGCTAACTTGTGTCGAGAATCGCTTGCTCGACTCTTTCGGTCAAACGCTGTTATTTGTCTTGATCTGGGAATCATTTATTTAAAAAGTTGCAAGGAGCTGACTGTGATGCTGGGGAACTGTTGAAGTTATCCAAAAGGTTATTAAGTTCGCGTCTTGTGTATGGAACGAAATTCATGTCTGAAGTAAAACGACGAACGGGGACCAAAATTACGACGCAGCAACAGACCGAGATGTACGCAAAACTGCCATTGTCTTAAGTCAAAAGTCGAGTCACGTGTGAACATCACTAAAAAAACCCAAATAATCCCTCCTGAATGTGAATAACCTGAAATTACAGTTTCAATCTTTCAGGCCTCAAGACATAATAATTGCACATTTTTGGGCTCTTTCATACGCCATCGTGTTTCCTCAAACTACGACGTTTCGGGAGATGACTCTTCCCGCAAACTGGTAATTCAACGCCACTTACAGCAACATTTAGAGAACATTAATTTTGATCGATTCAAAGAAGAAAATTGACTTACGTTTGAGTTACAATGAAGAATTCTCTCAGTCGTTTTCAAATAAATCTAAGACCAGTTGGGCGTTGCTAAAAAATCTGTCGACAATCGATAGCTTCTCTTTTGAGAAAGACTCTACTAATTCCGAACATCCTGTACATCCACGAAGCAGACAGCTGACTTCAAAAACGCGTAGGAACTCCAATGTCCAGGAACAGGATAACGCTAAACTTGTTTCGTGTGCTTGCACATTTATTTTCATATTTTCTACTCGAGCAAAACCAAAGCCTCTTTTACAAATTTCAAAGTACGCCTAACAACTTCGCCATTTTTATCGTATATAAACTTAACTGATAATACAGCATCGTCGAACGCTGTAATCCACTGATTCTCTTCCTCAACATCACCAATCCTTTCAGCGCTGATTTCTCAACGCACAGAAAATCGGAACACCAGGCGGCATTTTCCACTGCCCGGAAGGGAAGTGGTAACCTCGGGTCGGAAATTGCATTGGATGCGATAGTGATGTCTTAGAGGGGTGGCCGACGCTTCGCTTATATAACATCGCCACATCATCGCACAGTAACTCGTCAGTTAATAACAAATTATGTAAATTCAAACAACAATAATTTCATAATACGCGATTATGGTAACAAATATAACAGAAATTCCACGTAATAATAATAATAATAATAATCATGAAAATTATAATAACAATAACAGCGCGTGCACTGAATTCGTAACCTAAAGTATCAGCGTCATAATTTTTCTGAATCCATGAGACAAGATGAACCTTCACTTGCAGCCGTAAGAAATCTGGAATTGCAAACCAGAGCAAAGGCTAACTTGTGTCGAGAATCGCTTGCTCGACTCTTTCGGTCAAACGCTGTTATTTGTCTTGATCTGGGAATCATTTATTTAAAAAGTTGCAAGGAGCTGACTGTGATGCTGGGGAACTGTTGAAGTTATCCAAAAGGTTATTAAGTTCGCGTCTTGTGTATGGAACGAAATTCATGTCTGAAGTAAAACGACGAACGGGGACCAAAATTACGACGCAGCAACAGACCGAGATGTACGCAAAACTGCCATTGTCTTAAGTCAAAAGTCGAGTCACGTGTGAACATCACTAAAAAAACCCAAATAATCCCTCCTGAATGTGAATAACCTGAAATTACAGTTTCAATCTTTCAGGCCTCAAGACATAATAATTGCACATTTTTGGGCTCTTTCATACGCCATCGTGTTTCCTCAAACTACGACGTTTCGGGAGATGACTCTTCCCGCAAACTGGTAATTCAACGCCACTTACAGCAACATTTAGAGAACATTAATTTTGATCGATTCAAAGAAGAAAATTGACTTACGTTTGAGTTACAATGAAGAATTCTCTCAGTCGTTTTCAAATAAATCTAAGACCAGTTGGGCGTTGCTAAAAAATCTGTCGACAATCGATAGCTTCTCTTTTGAGAAAGACTCTACTAATTCCGAACATCCTGTACATCCACGAAGCAGACAGCTGACTTCAAAAACGCGTAGGAACTCCAATGTCCAGGAACAGGATAACGCTAAACTTGTTTCGTGTGCTTGCACATTTATTTTCATATTTTCTACTCGAGCAAAACCAAAGCCTCTTTTACAAATTTCAAAGTACGCCTAACAACTTCGCCATTTTTATCGTATATAAACTTAACTGATAATACAGCATCGTCGAACGCTGTAATCCACTGATTCTCTTCCTCAACATCACCACGAAGCTCTTCATTGAAAAGCTGTTGTTGGCACATTTACTTGTAAGACCCAGATTTAATTAATGTATTCTGAGAATTTCTCTGTCATAGACAAGGCCTTACGCTTGCCTCAGATACCTGGGCGACGTCTTTTACCAAGCGCGGCTAAGACTTTAAACCGATGATTCACACAACACTCTCAATCTGAAAGTAAAATAAATGGAACACCTCTGCACAGCCTACACTGAACCAAATCGACATCCGCGTGTCCCTAGGGTTTCGGGAGCCACATACTGCAAACCCATACTCAAACCGCCCTGGACTGACGAAGTGTACAGCTGTTTAGTGCCATCCGACAGTTAAAAAATAATTAAATGCTTCAAGGCCACAGGTTGCACATCTGGGCCTATTGTAGAAAACACGTGGACACAGAGTCACGCAAAGATAAGGAGGGGACAAGCCGTGACTCCGCGAACCGAGTGACGTCACAGGAGTCCCCTCAAAACTGTCATGGCAGAACTGCGTTCGTCTCACCACTCGCTGCACTTCGCACAATCGAGGAAAATCATCTCATCCGGCCCCGCGATTCACACCCACGAGTACGAGCAGTGCAGATACTTCGGCGCGACGTCACTGTTCGAAACGGACTCCCGCTGACCAAGAATGCGGCAGTGAAGATCCGCACAAAGGCATCGGGTTCGAGACCACTCACATGCCCACCGTGCGAGGTCCAGTCGTCTCCTTCTCCCTGGCATTACGTGCGCTTGCAATTCGCAAGTGGGGGATCATTTCAATTGGGGGAATCCTTTCAGCGCTGATTTCTCAACGCACAGAAAATCGGAACACCAGGCGGCATTTTCCACTGCCCGGAAGGGAAGTGGTAACCTCGGGTCGGAAATTGCATTGGATGCGATAGTGATGTCTTAGAGGGGTGGTCCATAATCTTTAAATCCAAAAATACATTTGATTTCTATGACGACACGAACCGTAGAGTTTCCAGAAACTGTCCGGAAGTATTTTGAAAAATTCGCAACCACACAATGTAGTTGCTATGGAGAACGCTCCGTAAAGGAGCAACAGATTCTTAGGTTGTCACGTCGACCCAGCACCTTACGGAGCAAAATCTACGGACTAGCTAAAATAAAAGTACTTTAATTTGAATCAAGTTTGAGTCTTTAGAGCCGAACATCCCCTAATCTAACCTTACATACAAAGTTGAAATTGTGGGCTTATGTGTTTGTTCCCTGTTATCTCGAGAACGGGTTTACCGACTTACACTAACCTCCTCATTCTTACATCTCGAACCAGGAAGAGATCATTTGAGGGTCAAAATTCCGGAGAGTGTTTCTGAGATCGATTCCTGCTCAGGGTGTATCCCGTAGGTCGGAAAACAAGCACAACAGAAGAAAAGCGTGTATATCGCAAAGAAGACAGCAGAAACAAAGAATAGAATCACAAAAATTATCCTGTGTTCGATTCCCAGTTACGATGTTTTCTGTAGCTCGCATAATAAGCATGACAGAAGAACGGTGCCAAGTTCAAAGGTGTTTGTTTCGAACAGGAAATGTTTAAGCAGATGCCAATACACCGAAAACTGTCCTGGATTCTAGTCCTGACGGAGATGTTTCGTTCGCTCCGAAACTAAGCACAAGAGAAAAACGACGCCAAGACAAACTTAGATCTTTTCAGAGAAAATATTTCAGAAATTAAGGTCATTAAATAAAATAAACTCTAATGAGTTCGAGTCTTGTTGCCGATGAACCGACGCCGAGCGTGGCGACGCCTGTATACATGAAACCGTCTCAATAATCATGACCTGAGACTAAGACGATACGACACTCCGACTCAACATGACAACGAAATTACCATGGACACGTACCCATGCACCAGAACAATCGCAAAGCTAACACAAATGTCGTTACTCTGAAACAGATGGCGTTCCTCGGCACTCTCTCAAGGTCGCCTTTCCGATATATAAGACCACGTGCCTGTGGAGCAGTTACCATTCAACCATGAACTACAAGCTGATCGTCGTCATGCTGTTCCTCGTGATGGGGGTAAGTCAGTTCTTTTCCATCAGCCGTAGATTAACCTGCCTTTGATGGTTAAGTCATGGTGAGTCAAAGTCAGTATCGTAGAGGATACAGAACGTGAAATTACGTCAGTAACTTCCGGGGCGCCATTTTCTTCCACAATTTTCTCTCTCCGTGCATGAGAATGCTTAAATCTCACCGAGTCACGTGTATCCAAGTCTCAGAAGTGATTGGTTGGTGCGTGTTTGCTTTTCGTCAGAGGAATGAAAGTTCCCGGTGATGATCATAGATGTACTAACACCACTTAGCAGCTTCCACGAGCACTTCTAACGGAGCGTCAGTGACAAGAACGTAGCACGGTTCGTGTTTTATTAAGTCTACGTGCGTGGTGAGTGAAAGGGAGTGGCTTCTCCAGCAGAAAATTGAAAAATAATGTCATTTATTGATACATTTCTGGGTGAAATATCCACTAGGATAGAATTACAATTTGACAACCGAAAAAATCATTTTGTCCTTCTAATTTGAAGGTTTGACAATTACGCATTGCACGAATATTTATGGCGTACGCGTTGGGTTCAAATAGTCCCCTAGCCATTCGGTCTCAAACACTAAATAAGTACACCCTTAAGCTGAGATAGGTTAGGTTTCGCGCTCAGATCCAGTTGTAACAAAATGGCTGACTTCTGGGTTTTAAATCCGTGTAGTCTGATAGAAATTAAAAAAACGTTTCGGAGGACTTTTCTGCTTCCATCATCACGTCATGAGAACCTCATATCAAACTCACCTGAAGTTTATTCACCACATGAACACATTGCCATGTTCTCTGAAATTAAATTCCTTATCGTCACTACAAATATCCTGAACAATGACTGTTCCTCATGTTTCGACAAAATACTAACAAGAAATGGCTCTCAATATGTTGAAAATAATAATTAATCTGACTCAATAAAATTAATAACAGTGTTGTGATGTATTTACAGGCGCTGGTCGAAGGAAAGCGTCTGGCGAACTTAGGGCACAAGTTGAAGCAAGAAGCTGAGAAAGTGGGCAAAGAAGCTGGCCACATCTTGGAAGGAAAAGTCGCTCAGAAAGCCGCTGATGTCGTCTTCAACGCGGTATTAAGGAAAGGATAACAGCAGAGAGGCAGAAATGTGAACTACGAAAATCAACAACGTTTGTTACAAATTGTATCATTCTTTTACAATAAACCCCAAATGACTTGCCCAGAAATCTGTGTTTTAACCCAGGATCATCCCATGCAGTACAGACATCGTCTCGACTGAATATATTGCGCGCTTTTTGCAAACAAAGAGAAATGAACACTGGAGAAACTCTCTTTATCTCCTTGTTTTTCTCCAAAACTACAGAATGCATGTCGATATAAGTCAGGGAGACTTCCACGAAAAGATGTTTATCAAGTATAATTTTCGTTCGAACCAAACCAGTAATATCTCAACATTTTCAAAAGTTCAGGTCAACTGAAACGTCAGTACACTTCTGAGAGAAACGGACAGATGACGTGACGAAAATGTTAGACGACTTCAAATCCCATTTTCAATGTGTTCACTTTCTGATACATTCACCTGTAAACTTTTGTGCCCTTGGTGATTATATAATTATTTAAGAGGAAAGCAACTTGTAACCCCGTGCATTGCGACAGACGTGAAACCTTTCGTCTGTGTTCAGAATAAGATTGCTAACTGCGCTGTGTCACCGCGAACGTCAACCCAGAAATACGCAAAATCATTTCGAACGCATTCAGAAACTCGCAGGCGCCCTCAAACCTGCGTTCTCCTCAATGCCATCGTCGCATCCACGAAGCTCCACACCCACAACGTACGACGAACACCGTCCCGCACCCATAATTCCACGGTGGAATTTATCGCAGAAAATACGAACAACTTACTGCACAAATTACTTATCGAGAAGCAGAATTAATGAGATACCGACGCTCTACAGCGACGCACTGGACGTGGAATCCGCCACGACATCGTGCCGCCGCGGCTGCGAGCGAACTACCGGGAAATAAGCCGGTCGCAACACCAGGAGGTGAACTCCGAGTAACGTGGGACTGCGTGAAATACATGAATTCTTGTACTTGATTCTGAAGTATATAAATAATCTTGACCGGGACGTGAACACATGACCTCCTCCCTCAGTCTCCTTGACGAAGCAAACAATATTGGTCTTATTCATTTTCTCCTATCGAAATTCGTTTCGAAGGTAAGAACCAAGTTCACCGCAACCCGAGGCTAAGACTGTTTCCGGGTTCCGTCCTCTGTCCCCGTAATCTCATCGCCGAAACCAACAACTTTTGCCACCAATACTCACGCTCGTGGTTTATTATATTTCTAAAACCTCTTCCTGGTTTCAAGGAATAAGCGTTCAAAGTTTGGTTGAAATTGTTGTATCCGTTCTCCATCTATAAGCAAACACGTACAAGCCACACTTTCTGTTGAGATTGCCTAATGTTTCCCCTTTCTGTGATATGAAAAGAGCACAGCATTACATGGACTTTAGTACCTACAAAAGTGCCATATATTCACACCCTGCTTCTTCTAGAGTACATTGGTGTTGCGCTATTACCACTATAGAGCATGACGGCTTCCTTCTACATCCCTTCCAATTCATTATTCACAATCTTCCTCTCATTAGGAATCATACAGGCTCAGCTACTCAAAATGAGTCGTTAAACAAGCCGAGGTTTCTACATTTTACAATTCTTCTTGCTGTGCTATGAGGATCTACAGACTATAAAGCAATATCCCAAGATGCCAAGCAGTCACAGTACATCTTCTAACAGACAAACATCATTAATCACGCACAAAAACCAAAAAAAAACAAAAATGTCCCCATAAGGTCTGCCATACTCTAAGAATAAGCTAAGGCGGGGTTAGAACCCGATGCTGCAGGCGAATTGGGGTCATTACCGGGGTGAACCAGCGAATGTGGACTCAGCTTAAATAACGATTAACCCCAGAGTTACCAGTTTCTTGCAAGGGTTTCTGGGAGCAGGGACCAGCTCAACTGACACATAAATCATCACCTTGGCATTTACGTAATGTCACGGCATTTGTTCAAGAGTTTCCAATCGCTACGAAACTTAACTTTGTACACAGACTCACCACAGCAAGGTTAATGACATTCGGCTTTCCGATAGCTACATCATTTATCAAGCCTCCAAAGTAATTAATTATTTAGAATACCCTTGCACTGCAGGTTGCAGCAGTTAATCTGTTAAGTGCAGTGCGAACCAATGTGGTGAAGTTTGGGCAAACGCCGTTCCCTTTTCCTCGGAATGTCTCAGCCCGAATATCTCTCTAGAGGGAACAGAGATCTTCAAACTCGCACGTTCGTGCAAGATCACATTCCTTATTCCGAATAAATGGGAAGGAGAAAAGAAAAATCTGCATTCTTAATACATAAGGACTTTGTAAAGTTCTGGTGTCCCACTCCCGCACGTCTTCAGCGCTCCACCCACTTCTTCATCAGCGACAGCCTTGGTCAGCAAACAAACTCACACTTACAGCCGGATCAAGACCAGATATCGTCTTTCTTTGAAAGGCTAAATACTTGCGAATTAAACTGCGTCAAGAACCCCCCCTCCCCGAATAATTTGTTGCAATTCCGTGTATCCGGCGTCCTATGCTTCCAGTGCCACGTGATTCCAGCTTCCAGTAGTTCCAGCCTTCCCTCTTTGAATTATTTAACGTTTCCAGCGCCCTACATTTTCATAGTTCCGCGTTTCCAGTTTCCAGTTTGTCCAGCGTCCTGACTTTCAGCCGTTTCGTGCGATCAGCGTTTTATGTTTCCAGAATTGTAATCTTCCAGGACCACAAGTTTCCAACATTCCGGATAGCAAGTATTCCAACACCACGTTATGTTACCTTAGCCTTTTACGTTACATTACGTTAGGTTAATTTGAGATAGCTAAAGTTATATAATCTTAACTTTAATAAGTTCAGGTCAGATGACGTTCCGCTTAGAGTTTTCCACATTTCACAGTTTCCTAATTGTGCATTTCCCAGGTTTCCAGCGTTCCGTTCCCCGAGTTCCGTGATTCCAGTGTCCCCTGACTCTAGAGTCCGTCGTCTTCAGCTCCAGGTATCTGCATTATTTCGTACTTCCACAGTCTCGAGTTTCAAGAGCCCAGTGTTCCCAGTTTATGTGAACGGCCTGAGACGGCGGCTGTAATTGTTCAAATCTCCAGACATAATAACTTCTATCTATAAAGGAATAAAAGTGGCTTGGACATCAGACACTTGAAATAATTCCGTCAGTCGTTTACAGACAAATCTAACGTTCACATTTCCTGAGTTCCTGTTAGGCTTCTTAAAGCTTCAGCATGAGCAAAGAACGCCCACGTCTCGACGTCACAATTTAATTAGGAAATAGGCAACCAGCGTGACCCAGACTCACTGTCGGAATACAATCCTTTGAAAATTGGGACCAGAACCACTGTTGGAAAAAAGTGTTGAAACGATGGTAAGCAATGTCATTGCAGGATCACGTTATATCAACGATTACAACCACGGCCCTTGCTGGAACCCTGTTATAGCAATGGCAATCGAGAGCTATCTTATTTCTTCCGAGTAAGACTCCACTAATTCCGAACATCCTGTATGCCCCGCCTGTCCACGAAGCAGGCAGCTGACGTCAAAAACGCGTAGGAACTCCAGTGCCCAGGAACAGGATAACGCTAAACTTGTTTCGTGTGCTTGCACATTTATTTTCATATTTTCTACTCGAGCAAAACCAAAGCCTCTTTTACAAATTTCAAAGTACGCCTAACAACTTCGCCATTTTTATCGTATATAAACTTAACTGATAATACAGCATCGTCGAACGCTGTAATCCACTGATTCTCTTCCTCAACATCACCACGAAGCTCTTCATTGAAAAGCTGTTGTTGGCACATTTACTTGTAAGACCCAGATTTAATTAATGTATTCTGAGAATTTCTCTGTCATAGACAAGGCCTTACGCTTGCCTCAGATACCTGAGCGACGTCTTTTACCAAGCGCGGCTAAGACTTTAAACCGATGATTCACACAACACTCTCAATCTGAAAGTAAAATAAATGGAACACCTCTGCACAGCCTACACTGAACCAAATCGACATCCGCGTGTCCCTAGGGTTTCGGGAGCCACATACTGCAAACCCATACTCAAACCGCCCTGGACTGACGAAGTGTACAGCTGTTTAGTGCCATCCGACAGTTAAAAAATAATTAAATGCTTCAAGGCCACAGGTTGCACATCTGGGCCTATTGTAGAAAACACGTGGACACAGAGTCACGCAAAGATAAGGAGGGGACAAGCCGTGACTCCGCGAACCGAGTGACGTCACAGGAGTCCCCTCAAAACTGTCATGGCAGAACTGCGTTCGTCTCACCACTCGCTGCACTTCGCACAATCGAGGAAAATCATCTCATCCGGCCCCGCGATTCACACCCACGAGTACGAGCAGTGCAGATACTTCGGCGCGACGTCACTGTTCGAAACGGACTCCCGCTGACCAAGAATGCGGCAGTGAAGATCCGCACAAAGGCATCGGGTTCGAGACCACTCACATGCCCACCGTGCGAGGTCCAGTCGTCTGCTTCTCCCTGGCATTACGTGCGCTTGCAACTCGCAAGTGGGGGATCCTTTCAATTGGGGGAATCCTTTGAGCGCTGATTTCTCAACGCTGACGTCGGGTCAGAAATTGCTTTGGATGCAATAGTGGTGCCGTAAAGGGACATGATTACATTGCAAATTACGAAACAAGGCGGGGAGATGTGTGTAAATTAGGACCTATCTCATATGAACAGGGTGAGCGATGCTCTGTTTGCCAAAACGGAGATTATGTTTAAATCAGGAAACAGAAGATGATGCTAGAAATGTCCACCGCGTTCCTAATGTTTGGTGAGAGCCCGTGAACGGTTCCTCTGCCACGAGAACGGTTCACCAGACCAGATGCTGCCGAATTGCTTTGAAGGGCAGAATCGGGAGGAGTATCCTCGATCTCATTCCGTCAAGTTTCACAAGGAGGAGTAGTCTGGAAATATTCGGTGGTGAACACTCGTTGCACTTTTGAATAAGACATACTTGCACCTCGACTTTTTAATGACAAATGACGGAATGGCACGAACAGATTAGAATAGGAAGTAACATGAGTGGGCTCTTGTAATAGTCCCTGATCGACATTTTGTATTTGTTAAGCCGATCGAGTTATATCGAGTTGCAAC